GGGTGATGAATATGCTCTGAAATTGATCATGGTTGTGATGGAACAGCACTATGAATACACTAAAAAGCACTGGACTTTACACTTTCATCAATTGTATGGAAGGTGAATTATATTTCTATGAAGTTGTTATTTAAAAAACAATAACAGCTTTCCAGCAGAGAGGAGCACTTCCAGACTTACGAATTAGGGACCTGAAAATCTGCTCTTCCAAGAACACCAGCAAAAATTGCCAAAATACACTTCTGTATAACTCTGGTAATTAACAAACTGCTTGCAATAATATAAGGAGTGGTTATTCAAGAATGAGGCTCAGTCTTGAAAAAAAAATGAGTTTTTAACTTATATTATTTTCATCTTGTGTTCCACTACCTCCTCAGTGGCCTTAAACACCAGCATTCAACAGTTACTGTGAAAATGGCTAATGAGGAGCCATGGGAAAGGACAAAGGATTTTGAAGCCCCCTGCCAGGAAAACCACCCCCAGACAGTCTCCTCCTCAGTTTGTCCTTATCTGACCAGACTCAAAGCTTGCTTAGTGCAAATAGCCCCATCCCCAGAGAATTTGGAAAAAACAATCAGCGGCAATTGTTTCACATCACAGCTGCCAGGCATAGTGATACCAGCCCAGGCAAAGAAGCAGCTAATCGAAAACTCAAAAGGAAAATAAGGATAACAAATTCCATGCTTCTGGGTCAGGAGCAAGGCATAAAATTGTTAAGATGGTAAAACCCTCCAAATTTATCTAGAAATTCAACACAATCCCTATCAAAATTGCAACTGCCCACCCCACCTTGTTTTTTTGCAGAAATTGACCAGTTGATCATAATTATAGGATTAATGTGGAAATACATGTGGCTACAGAATCACCAAAACAATCTTGGAGGGAAATAAATTAGGAAAATTCACATTTCCTGACTTTAACATATACTACTAAGCTACAGTTACTAAAATGGTGTGGTACTGACACAGGAATATGTATATAGATCAGTGGAGTAGAATTGAAAATCCAGAAATACACCATATATATATGGTCTATATATTTCAAAAAGTGAACGAAGTTAATTTAGTAGAGAAAGAATAGTCTAAAGTGTTTGGCAACTGTCCAGGGACAACTGGCTATCAACATGCAAACACATGGTGTACCATCCCTGCCTCAAGTCATATACCAAAAAGAAATGGAAGCTGGAGTGTAGACCTAAGTGTAAGAAATAAAACTATACACTCTGAAAAAAACATTTCCCTTCATTCTCCATAACTTCCCAACAAGGAGAAAGATTTGCCCCTCTGTATGGTATTTGCCCCTCTGTATTGAGCTAATAAAATAATTCTTAGCCATAATACAAAAAGCAAACACCAAAAGTAAAACAGCTAAATTGACAAAATTTAAGACATTTGCATCTCAAAGGACACCCTCAAGAAAATGAAAAGACAGCCCATAGAACAAAGAAAATATTTGCAAATCTTAACTCTGACAAGGGACTTGTATATAGAATATATAAAGAATTCAAACAACCCCATAATAAACAATACAACTCAACTCTTAATGTGGTGAAGACTATGGAGGAATTGTGAATGCATTATGTTAAGTGAAGAAAGCCAGTCCCAGAAGGCCATGTACTGTATGATTTCCTTTACATATAGTGTCCAGAATGTGCAAACCTCTAGAGATAGCCCAGGCATTGTTGGCTGGGGAAGGCAGAAATGGGAAACGACTTGTTGGTATGGTGAGATTCAACGGGACAGGCACTCACAAGAGAGCAAAAATGCAGGAATGAACAAAGCTTTAGTCAAGAGTCAGCCGACAGAGCTTTAACAAGGAGCCAGAGGATGTCCACCCTGATCTGGGGCCTGCCTCCAGTTTAAATGCTTTTTTGGGTTTCCATAATAACCATACAACCACATTAGCTCATTTTTGGTTAACAAGAATGTCACAGAATTGTCACAAGGTTTACATTTCCCAGAAGTGGCCGGTCATGCGCCAGTCAGGCAAATCTACAGTGGTGGACACTGTGGTTCAACATTTAGCCCACTCCCCAATTTGTTCAGTTCCTATTTTATAGCTCTGGTTTTTTTAGTGGGTTTTATGACTAACCAGGGGAGAGGGAGTGAGGAGTGAGTTCATCTACAGTTTAAGTGAACTTAAGTGACTTCTCTTAAAATGGAGCTACAGAAAAGAAAAATGGAGCCTCTCTTGCCCTACCCTTGTTTATGTTTTGTACCAGGAATCGAACTTGTGACCTTGCGTTTGCTGGGCAAGTGCTGTGCTACTAAGCTAATTCCCCGGTTGCCCCATCATTGTTACAGGTGTAAGATTTATTCTCAGGGTGATAAGAGGCCCCTCCTTCTCCATGCTCCTGTCACACTCACCGTCTTGCTCTCCAGCAGCCTCACACACCACTGGGCTCTCGGAAACTCCGCCCTCTCCAGATGCTCTTCTCCACTGTCGGCATGGCTGATGCCTTCTTATCTTTCACATCTCAGGTTAAAAATCATCCCTTTTGAGGCCTGCCCTTGACCCTCCTGGTCACCTGCATTATCTGCTAATTCCTTTAATAGCACTTATTCATATAATCCACTCATTCAAAACTGAGGATGCTTCTTTCAAGCCAAGCACTTAGGAGATTACAGGAATGACCAAGGGACAAAACTCCTGCCCCTGTGTAATGGTATAAGTTGGCAAAGAGGGGACAGATAAACACATAATGTTAGGCAGAGAGGTATAAAGCTAAAAAAGAATAAGGGGGCTGGTTGAGGTAGCGCACGCCTGTAATCCCAGTGCATGGAAGGCTGAGGCAGGAGGATCACTGTGAGTTCAAGGTCAGTCTGGGCTACAAAGTGAGTTCAAGGCCAGCCTGAACTGCATGGTGAGACCATGTCTCAAACCTAAAAAAGGAGCGGGGGCATGAAAGGCTCTCAGGATGAGGAAAGGAAATGCTACAAGGGGTGGTTAAAAATACAATGTTTGAATTTTTTAAAGTTTTATTACATAAGACACATTGCAATGAATTCCCCTCAAAATCTTTCCCCTTGCATTGAACACTTATGTCATCACTCCTGCCACTTTCTGAAGCAGTTCTGAGTGCCCTCCTGAACGTCTTTACCAGCTGTGATCAAAAATATGGTGCGTGATGCTGCCGAGTACCAGCCAACAGAAAGGTAGGCTTGAAAAAACATGATGCTGTGTCCTCGTCCACCTTATTCACTGGATCTGGCCAAATGCAACTTCTGGTTTCTCCTGAGTCAAAATGACCATGAAAGTAAACGTTTTCAATCAGTTCGGGACACTGGGGCAACCACAACTGGACAACTAAAGACACTCAGGAAGGAGGACTCCAGCACTGATCAGAAAGTGGCCAGAATGACAGGACAAGTGTGTCTAAAGCAAGCGGGGAGGGTTTTGAGGGGATTTGTGACAACATCTTTTACTGTAATAGATTCTTTAAAAGTTTAAGCACACACCCATGTTTTTCCATCACACCTATGTTCTGAAAGGCTGCTGGTGGACGATAAGCTGGTCATAAAGCAGGCTGGAACGAGTAAGGGATGGCTGCCTAGGGCAAGGGGATGTGAGGAAGACAGCAACATGAGAACCAAGGCTGGAGGCTCGGGACACGGCTGTGGTGGAGAGAATGGAGATGAGGAGGGAAGTGCGTCATTCTCCCTGGGGGAGCCACACTGAGCTTGAGGCGGCAGTGGAGCTCCCCGGGTGCCTGGCAGGCTGGTGAGAAGCAGGGCACAACAGGCAGACAGGGCTGGATGGAGTTAGGCGTCGGTCATAGGAAAGGGAACGGCCAGCTTATCAGAAGAGGCGTCTACAAACACCTGAGGGCGGAGTGCCAGTGACCCCGCAGGGACTCAACGAAGCATCTTCTGCTGGTGTTTCGCTAAGTCTCTACTCCTCCCTTCCTCCCCAGCATCATGCGCATGACCAGGGCCCATCCGGCCACAATCCCAGTATCTAAGAGGGCCAGGAACATACTAGGTGCTCAGGAAGCAGAATGTTTGCTTTCCTCTTTCGGCATTCCTCAGCTAGGAAAACATCCAGCAACAACAGCTCAGGAAACATTCACTCAGATTTCAGCCCAAGTGCATTCTTATTAACATGTATTTTCCCATGGTCCACTGAGCGCCCGCAACTTATTTCTGACGCCTTCACAAATAGGAAACAAAGGATCCATGGAAGACAAAGCGATCTAAGGAGGCACCCCTGGCCCAAGCCTGTTGAAACACACAGGTCACACCCCGCTGACAGCCACAAGCCCTCAGCGACCGCTGTCCTGAAAGGTGGCGACATCAGCCAGGCTGTGTCCACACTGTGTGACTAAGGCGGTGCTGCGCTCTGCTGTGCGGCTGTTCCACGCGTTTCCTGGAGCTCTGGGATGCGGGCAATAATCTGTCATCATGTTTTCCTCTCACATTGAAAAGAAAAGAACAGCTCCTATTAAGATTAGAAATGTTGAGTTGTGCAGACATGAAAACAGAGAAGAACCCTTTTCTTATTTGGTAAATATTTTGCTTTTGAGGCATCAGTAACTAATCACAGCTGCTTCCTTTAGTTACAAATGGATTCAATCAGGTAAATTTGAGATGAAACACACGAACTGCCAGTTGTTCCATCCTGCACCACAATGGTGGCGTCCCTGGTGCAGTGCACGTATTAAGTATGCATGTATTCATCAACTCAGACAAAGCAGCTAATGGGCCTCTGATTAGTGCTGTAACTCTGTTATCGGGATGCTTCCCTCTCACCCTAGCTCATCTGAGACATGTGAGCAAAATGCTACTGAGCCCCATGCACAATCTGCTATGTGCTGTCATTCTCACTAAGCCTGCACACTGAATTTTGGCTAGAATTTTTCCATTAAAAATCAAAGGCAAACCCGGAAAGGGAGCGCAGCAGCACAGCGCCTGCCTGGTAAGCGTGAGGCCCTGAGTTCAACTCCTGGCACCAAAAAAAAAGAGAGAGCGAGAGAGAAAAAAAAACCAAAGGCAAGAAAGAGATGCTGCTGAGATTTCATTTTATTTTTACAAAATCTTTTAATATCAAAACTAAAACAAGAATTAAGCAAAATCCTAGTTTACCCCAGCTAGGATTCGTAAGACACCTTTCCAAACAGAGTGTTATATACATATCAATACACAGGGACAGTTTATTCTAGACTCAGGTACTGAGAAATACAAGCAAAGAGTCAGTGCATTTTATCCAGTATTTTAAAAGTACAGATTTTGTAGCAACTTATAAATAAACTTCTACCGTAATAATAAATTGCTATTTTGAACCAAAAGAATAGTATAAACCAGAAATTCATTTACAAATGCAAAGCAGAAGGCTTTGTGTAAGGATAATTCACTTTAATGCATAATCTTGCTTTTTAAAAAGATGACTGTTACAATCAGGTGTATAACAACTTAGTTATGACTAAGTTCCATCTGTTCAAAGAGGTCCTTTTAGGGAACCCACTTCAATCATCTCACTTTTCCCCAGGGACTTCGCCAAACAACAGAAGCACTACTGCTGGACAGAGACCAGCACACTGGTTGTGACTCCGTGTAGATCAGTGCAGTATCTACAAAAAGGCTCAACACGGAGGGAGCGCAGCTCAGACCTGTAAAGTAGCCCCAGCTTGGAAAATAATGAGGCGGCAATTAATAACAGCATCAATCATTACTAAAAATTAACAACCTTAGGTATCTTTGTTTTGGGTTTCTGCATTTTAGGTGCATCCAAAACTTCTTCATAGTCTGCACTCATTCCCTTTGCCCAGCGGCCGACAGTGACCATCCTATCTGTAAAGGAACAGAAAAGCCAGGATGTAAAAAAAAATGGTAATCAAGTGCAACCGCTCAGATTGGTACCAGTTCAGTGAAGGAACTTGTTTTGACATGAATAATCATAAGGAGGAAAAAGAAAGTGAGCCGCTCTGTAATTGATTATAACCCTTGATTTCAGAGCACCATGAGCAATTTCTCATCCCAATTAGGGAAATGCATCTACTACTCAGCAATGCACAAACTGATGAGAAAGCTCTTCCATTCTTTCCCAGAGTTCATCATTACAGAGTCAATGAATTCCAAGAGTCAGTAAACAGTGAGACTTATGAAGCATCCGTTTTAAATGCACAAGATTCCACCTGTGAAATTATACAACATCTGCTTGTCAGTCTTGTCATTTGGAAAGTGGCAATTCTCCCAGGAGGGAGAATTCAAATTCCACTTCATCATTTCAATCTTGCTGCTACAATGTGGTAAAGACTATCTTCTCCTAGACAAGACCGTAAACAAGAACCCTTGGTTTTCAAATTTACATACTAGGGACAGGAAGTAAGAACACAGAGATCTACAGCATAGCACTGTGACTACATGAAATGAAAAGAAATGTGCTTTCTTCCAAGGAAGCACCACCGGGCTACCCTACGGTCTTGCTTTCTTAAAATACAAGATTATCACTGTTCTAGTCCAGGCAAACTAGTAGAATGATCTCTGCTTTTTCAAAAGTCTGCTATAGGCATAGTGAACACTGATGAAGATTTTGATGAACAAGGCTAGTACTTCATTAGGAAGAAAACAGCTAGCCAGATGCTATGTCAGTAACACGTTTTTAATATTTTTGGCAGTTTTTGCTATCAACTCTGAATTATTTAAGTATACACAAAGCAAAGCATATAGGAAGACATCCTATGAATGCTGAAATTGCTTTATGCTGTGATTTTTCTCAGTGAACCAATACGTTTCTATAAGCAACAGAACAGGCTCTATTATAATTAAATTCTCTAGTTAGCAAGTATAAGAACTTAGGAATAAGAGGCTTAATAGAAGAGGGTCCTCTAAGGCTTACTGGCCGCTCTTCCTCTGAGACCAGGAGGATAGCTAACTGTGGTGTCAACTTGAATAAGAAATGCCTACCCAATGGGTTTAGCACCGTTCTGGGTATCTGAGTGACTGGTTATTGGAGATGAAGTCCCACCCTGGGTGGAATGAAAAGGGAAAGGAGAACGAAGGCATGCTTCTGCTCCTGAGGAGCTCCAGTCTTCACCTTCACCTCTGGGCTTCCAGCACAGACTCTTCAGCCTGGCAATGCACCCTCCAGCCTCCTGATACAGTCTTGCATGGGACTCTGCAGGGAGCTCGAGTCTTGACTTTCCACTGGATTCTCCAGTGCTCCAGCACGCAGACAGCCCCTTTGCATTCTTCCATCCCTGACTCTGCAGGCAGCCATGGTAAGCCTACCTTGTAAACCCTTTATATATGATGTGTTATGTGAAATCTGTTCCTCTTAGGAACCCCCACTGACACAGGAAGCTAAGGCTCGTGACTCAGTACTGTGTCTACTGTGGACAGAGAAGAGTGGAGGCATTGCTGCAGGAAGGAAACACCTTGTCTGAGATCAGCAGCAAACCTGTCACTGACCACAAAACACAGCAAATGCACTGGGCTACCAAGCTCGCCCTTCTCCCTGGGGCCCAGGGACTCACCCAAACGCTGACCTTCAGGGCAATCTTTCTTCAGATGTTCCACAGAGCCACAAAGTTTGCAGCCACCACCTAGTAAAGAACAATGCCACTGAGTAACATCTCAGGCTTAAACAGGGATGTCCTTAACTCAAAGCATTTCCCTTACATGGTCCTCACATCCTTGTGGGCTGTAAAGGCAGGTGGAGCCGGGAACCGAGGAGGGGCCACCGTGGCTATTAACAATTCACTCTCACTCTCCTACGCTCAGAGCACTGAGCTGTACCTACCATGAACTTTCTAGGGAGAAGCAAGAAAGAGAGCCTGACCCCGATCTCGTCATGTTGGACAGCAGGGCCAGTGACCCTGGGACTGTGAAGCACTGGTCCATGCAGACACACTCTCCTGAGGAAGGAAAGCTGGGGCGTGACTCACGGGACAGTGAGGAGCCTCACTGCTCTACGCCACTGGCCAGACAGGGCAGGCATTTGCAAAAGGAAGGGAACCAACTTTGTTCTGGTTGGTTCTGGAACCAACTTTACTTCTGCCAGGTGTCTCGTCCCCCAAAACACTCATCTGTCTGCTTCAAGCAACATTCTGAGGCTGGGCGTTACAAACACGTGGTCTCTAAAACGAGTCTTTCACTGCCATATAGTCAGGTATGGTAATGATCATGCTGACGATGTTGAGTGACTCAGTCACGAAAGTGGCCTTCTCCAATATTTCCCTTCTCTCTTTTTAAAAATTTTTTTAAAACTCTGCTCACTTTGGTTGACCACACAAAGCCATTTTTGCTCATTAGTCCATTTTCCAGGCCCAGGCCTCTACCGTTTCACAGGGAATTGTAAACCAGAAGAGGCACGGAATAACACAGATGAACCTTTAACAGGGAATGCCACAGTTCATCAAACGTGAGACACACTGATCCTAAGATGTGTCGCCCTAGCTTGCACTTCTCAGGAGAACAAAAGGCTGTCAGCCATGGGGGATCCACTGATACACTCTGATTTCAGATACAAAAATGTGAAACAAAAATGCATCTTAGAATAAATGCAAGAGCAAGTCCTGAGTTCAATTCCTGGTACCAAAAAAAAAAACAAAAAACAAAAAAAAAGAGTAAATGGAACAGAGTTTTATCATCTGAGTTTGACAGGTAAATAAGACCTGGCCGAAGCCCCCAGCTACTGCACAGTGGTGCAAGGCTACAATCTGCGTCTGAGCAGCTTCAAAGCTATGCACTTTCACTGGACTAATCCATGACAACTCAACTCAGGACATGGGACAGTCGTACCTAGAGCACAATGACGCTGGCCATCACATTAACAGATAGCCACCAACTCCTAAAGCAGCACACACCACTGACTTTCTTTAGGGGACCTTAAGACATGAGCTGGCTGCATGATCCCATGCCAGATAATGATGAAGGAAAAGATTCAGAAACAAAAACTACTGCAAAAACTAAACAGTGTGCACCATCTACTCTTCTACCTATGCAGCATGCAGGGATGAAATTAAATGTCTAATGGTCTTGCAGTCGTTTAAGATAACCCATCTGCTCTGGTCATGTTTGAGTACAAATATATAACATTCGCTCACAAACGATGCTGAAGCAAGCACTGCTGGAAACACACACCTTAGTCTTCTGGTTTGTCAATGCATCAAGCCATATTGTATAATAAGCCCGGTATACATCAGCGCACTTGATAAAAATAATGAAATTCTCAGTGTTTCAAGATGTACTCAGGAGTTTACACCAGAACTGAGTAAGACTGGGCATGATGTTGCAGGCCTGTGATCCCAGCACTGAGGAAGGCCATGGCAGGATGCCAGGGCAATTCAGCAAGACTCAAAAAAAAACATCAAAAGGGATGAGGATGTAGCTCAGTGCAGAGCACCTCTGGGTTCTATCTCCAGTACCACAAAAAAAGTAAACTAAGTCACAACTCCACATGGTTCCTCACTGTGTCTGAGACACCAGAGTGACAGTACTCACCATCAGCGTAAAGTCCTTTGGGATTGTCAGGACAAGACCGAGACAGGTGCCCCATTTCCCCGCAAACAAAGCATTTTGCAAAAGGAAATTCACCTGTAAGAATCAACAATTCCTATGAGGTTGATGATGCGTAAGTCATTCAATTCACATTACTTTAAAATTCTATGAAGAGAAAATGTATTTCTTTTTACATAACTTGAAATCTAATTATGAGATTTCAAAATATTAATTGGCATGCTCATAACAAATTCTGCCCCCTCAATACCCAATTGGCTATTAATTGGCCACTTTCCCAACGAACTGAACAGGAAGCTAGAAGAACTTACCAAGAGCTGGGTCCACTTTAGCTCTGCACTTCGTTATTTCATGCTCTGTGGACCCACACCGGTAACATATCCCAGTGCCCATGTCTTGGTTTTCAAGGGCAGCGGGGCAATCAGCAACTCCATGGCCAGGTTTTCTACAATGAAAACACACCTGGGGGGAAAAAATGTGTGTTTCCACACTGTGAGTTCTCACACTGTAAATACACGAGTGACTCTATTCATTCCTATTACCAAGACATCTTTAAAACATTGCTCATTTTGAAAGCTATTTAGTTCTTTAAAAAAGGAAACTTATATAAGAACTATTGTCGAACTCCTACCATCTTGTATGGTGAAGCTCTGCATCATTTCCAATGTTTTTTAAAAATTATTTTTATTATTTTTTACTTGTTACTGTCTTTGATTGATCAACCTCACATTCTTATGTCTAATGGACTGAGCACTTTTGTTGAAGATAACAGTATGTAATTTAGCAACCATGGTAAATTTCTATCATTTTGTCTTGAGGTCATGTTTCATTTTTGTTGTTTTGATTTTGTCCTCGTTGTTTTGTCAGTTTTTTAATTTTTAAAATAAAAAAAAAATTTTAAACTTAGTATTTTATTTGTAGAAAAGTGTTTTACACATTTCTAAGCAATCACAGATGTCATTTCCATCTGAGGGTCTCAATGTTTCTGAAATTTTTCAATCATAAATCCACCAAACTCAGAAACAATGTTACATATGACTTCCCAGGAAACAACTGCTTAAGTGAACTGAACAAATAAGGACTCATTTCATTAAAAGACGTCTGCCCCTGAGTGAGGGCATCTGCTTTGGAGATGGACAATTGCTATAAAAATTATCACGCAGTTTAATATTTACCCCTTTACAGTTCACAAAATTGAATGAATTGGGATCAAATGGTTTCCTTTAAACTATGATTCAAATTATTACACATGCTTTACAGCATAAAGTATATTCTTTTGGTTTTGCATTCTGATACACATTAACATGCAGAAATAGTAACGTCATCTTTACACAGAGGCACAATAAAGTTTAAAGTAATTTATTCTAAGATGAATGTTGGCGCCAACATAAAACTGAACAATATACAGATATTTTCATACTACTGAGCAATGTGGAGGAAACACTTCTGCTGCAGTGAAGGAGAACATCAACTATAATCAAAGGTGGCAGACACTTCAAAGATTTTCCTTAAAATGGAAACATTTAAGGGAAAACATTTCTGGGAAAACAATCATTTAATTATTTTCCTCAAATAAGCAGCACTTAAAAAAAAAATAAATTCAACAAGCAAAAATAACCCTGTATTTTAGACCTTTGCTGGCTTTCTTTTTCTCTTTCTTTCCTCCTTCCTTCTTTTCTCCTGTTCACAAATACTGAACAATGAGTACATTTAAATTCTGCAATAACTTTCACACATGAGATGGTCCAAACAAAGAGACTACATTTGTCCACAGCTGCAGAAGAACCACTATTAACCACCAGGTCACCATTGTGCTAAGTGCTGGGTTGTCAGAGATGTTCAAGAGATTCCTAGTAACCCGATAGTTCACTGCCATGAATTCTAAAACCTATCACTACCAAAACAAATTCAATGAATGGTTCTTAAATTTATTCATTTATTTATGCTGTCTTTTTGAAACAAGTTTTCACTATGCAGTTTAGGCTGGCCTTGAACTCACTTTGCAGCCCAGGCTGGCCTGGAACTTAGAGCAATCCTCCTGTCCCAGCCTCCCGAGTGCTGGGATTACAGGCATGCACTACCACATCCGGTCAGTTCTTAAATTTAATAGAGACTGGAATCTAGAGTGGGGTGGTTACTCTCTACATCCTAACTTCATGGACTTGAACTGCCAATACTTAACCTCATAAGGTTACTTAAAAAAGAGCAAGAAAACATGGACAGCAGGCCACAACAGCGACACACTATTTTTAAAGTACTCCTTTTTGTGAAAAACAGCATCCTCTCCCTTAATCACAAACCGAAAGCTTTCCTTAGGAGGCAAGGCAGAACATTATTTCAAATGGTCTGCAATTCACCACCTTGGGGTGCCAATGATCTGCAAAATAAAGTAACTTACTGTGCTTAAAAATATTTTAAAATAACTAATTTTACAATTAAAACAACATTCTATCCTGATCCAAACAGGAATGGTTATCTTTTCTATCCAAACTTAACCAGAAGGAGAACTCCATCAGTTTTCTCTCTGAATAGCTGCGCGTAAATAGGCGCAGGCATGGAACAGTCCTGTCAGTGGGCAGAAGCCAAACTCACAAGGCTGTAACACAGCCTGCAATGCTGCAGGCACCAAGGTCTACATTTAGAAATCTGAACAAAAAACGACAGTGTAATCACCAGCAACAAGTCCTGTTTCTTCTGCAGTATCCCCCTACAAAATGAAAAACTCACATAGAGAATGGAAGTAACAGCACTAAATAGTTCACTTCCTGTGTCTGATATAGTTCAAAACCTTGGGCTAAGCACTAACTACAGAAGTAAACCTCCCCCTGTATTCCTTGCCATACAATGTGGGGAGAGGAGGGGCAACAACTAGGTAGATTGTCAGTTTCAACTCTATTCCAACTCTATTCCTCTGCTCTATGACTAATGTGAATCACACTAGATCTCCCTCCTGCCTTGATTTGTCATGGATAAGAACATCCATCCTTTCCAAGTAATAGGAACCACATATATTTAACCCATGGTATCTAACCATTCTTTAATGGCTAATTGAAAAGGGGCTGTTGAAAGACAGGGTAAGAACATGGGTTTTGAAGTTAGAATCTGGGTTTGAAGTTCACCTCCGCTACAAGTTAAAGGCTTTCAGCAAGTTACTTAACCTGTCTGCACTGTCTTCAGTTTCTTCTATCCATACTATGGGACTAATGCCACCACCTTTGTCCTGTGCAGCAATCACTAACCAGAACATCAAGTGTCCATATGTGCTGAGGCAGAAAGCCCTTACAAAGATGCTTGTAAATGTAGGACCCGGCACTGGACCCTGAGGCAATGCAAGAGCACATGTGAGAACACGAATGACAGCTTCTAGCTACAGAAAGCCAGTAGCACGTAGAAGTGATGATCTCACCATTGCATTTTTCTTGGCTGCTTGTCTTTTCAATCGTCTTCCTTCCCGACGACTGTCTTTCTTTAAAGCAACTGCAATCTCTTCTCTCATTTCCGGGCTGTCTGTGGCTATCACTTCCCCAGTGGGAGCCATCTGTGAGTTCTGTCTCAGGTATTCCATGAATCCATTCACATCTTCATTTAAGTACTCTTTTTTCTTTTTGTTCTTTTTATGTTTTGCTTGGGGTGTGTCATTTTGAAGGGACAGTCTACTGGCTCCAGGTTCTTGACGCTTTGAGCGCCTCCCCTGCGGGGACCCCTCCTTCATGTCCTCCCATGCTGTGGCTGCAAGTGGTCTCTTGCTACCTGTAGTGGTAACTCGTGCCCACCGGGTCATGGCTTCTCCAGAGGGACCTGCTCAGTCTTTAAAATGAGTGGCTGGTTAGTCCACACTTACAAAACAAACATTCACAGTACATCATCGTAGCAAATAAACTCATGTTAAAAACCTGTAATTATTATAACACTTTTCACTTCATTTAGGTATCTACAGACACATTAGTTCCATGATGTGCTGCACAGCTATGCCTCTAACATGAAACAAATGTTCACAGAGAAGCTACAGCCATCATGGGTGTACAGCTCATGTCCACAGGGTGATAAAAACATTCCTTTAGTTTCTTACAATTCAGGACACACTGCCATGAATTCCCTCCAAACACTCCCCCTCGTTTGGAACACATTTATCCCATCGTTCTTGGCAATGTGCCTTCTGTAATGAGGTTTTTCAAATGTAAACATTCATCCTTGTGGACACATTTCAAAGCACTCATTTATACCAAGTCACATTAGCTGACAGATCTTTTGCAGAACGCAAGGGGACCAAGGGATGACGGGAGGGGAGGAGGACGGAGAAAGAACTAAGATGCGCTGCGTACGCGCACAACTCCGCACCATGCATGTCGTCACCAGGCACTGCAAAGATGTGTCAATACAAATTTTAAAGTTACTTGATTCCTACATAAATTGAACAGCGTTTTGGTTCCTTTACATGGGGACCTACCTACCATCTAGGGCCTTTTTTTTTTTTCCTGTACCTAAATGAAATGTAAACTACCAGTGAACTACCCAGCACCCCTGGGGCACAGCGCTGAGACCGAGCGAGACACGCGCGTCGCAGGAGTCCCGCGAGGCCCGCGGCGGGCGGGAGGAGGTGTCCCCGCAGGGGCCAGGGGAGGGGACAGGCTCTGGCGCGCTGAGGACCATGGGGGGGCCTGCAGCCCGTCCCACGTGAGTTCATCCAGCGCAGAGAACACCAATGGGACCCGGGGACCCCACAACGCCGCACAGGCAGGCGCTTCTTACCGCGCGCGATCCTCCAGAGCAGTTGAGTCGGCCGGCCAGAAAACACCTGCGAATGAGAACGGAAGTACCGCCTCCCTGAGTGTCGTCACTTCCGGCGGAAGTCGCGCTGGCGCGCCAGCTGTGGTGGATCGGGTTCTGGTTCTCGTCTCTGGCCGGTGCAGTACCCTGTGTGTGAAAGTTTGCCGATCGTCCAGGTTTTAAAGGGCAGTGCCTTCGACACCGAGGACACGGGGATGAAGAGTGCCCTATCCGTGCTGTGACGCTACAGCTTAGTGGGAGAGAGACGGGAGGTGGGTAGGGTAGGAGATGCCAGTGTCTTTGAGAAAGTGACTTTTAAACTGGACTTTGAAGAATACAATAAAAATCTGGTGAAATTGGTGGTGAGAGGTTGAGGACACGCCTAGCAGAGCGAGGCGGGGTTATCAGCGCAGTGGGGTGGAACACTGCTAAAAGTCGGAAAAAGTCTGGGAGCTCTTGCCAGTGGTAAAGTAGTGCACCTTGGGGCCAAAAATTTCGCTTTTTAAGAGGAAAACTTTTGTCTTGGGGGCTGGGGATTTAGCTCAGCGGCAAAAGCGCCTGCCTGGCAAGTGCAAGGTCGTGAGTTCGGTTCCCGGTACCGGAGAAAAACCAAAAA